GCGATCCTCGGCCTATACAACTATGAGACCAGAAGAACTAGATGATGCCTGGGCATCCACTGTCAACCACTCGGAGGAGGATCTATGTAGGAGATCCTGGATAAAGAGGGAGAACAATGTGGAACAAAACTCAAAATCATTTGTGGGAAGAAAAAGTTTGCTGGTCTGATAAAGCCTGATGGTACCACTGAGACTATGGCCCCTAGCTGCCCTTCAGGTCTGGAATTGAACCCACACCTGTGGCTTGCAGCCAAACAAAAGACAAGCATATGAAGTCAACATTTACATTAGAAAGATACACTCCTTGGAGAGAACAGTTATGGGAGAATAGAAGGGCTGTGTATGCACAGGGACATAGCTCTGAGGGCAGGAGTACATGGAGGGAAGGACACAGGGAAGAGGTAACTATTGGGAAGAAGTGAGAGGGGAGAAGTTGCATTGTGGTAAATTGTAGTCAATGTCATGAGATAAAGTCTATGTGAACTGCTGTATGCAAAGTGAATTTCCTCTGTAAACTTTCACCCAAAACACAATTAAAAAATAAAGCTTATTTTGACATTATGATCTTGGACAGTTTGTGCCACATAACGGTTTAGGGAAGAGACCAAATCATATAAAGAAATAGGCATAATTAATTTTAATAATACATTGTTATTTAACTCAAAATACCTAAAATATTATCAGTCAACGTATAATAAATATAAAAACTGCTAATGAAATATCTCCATTTTTTTCATGCTGTTGTTGTTTGTTGTTATGTGCCATTGAGTCGGCCCCGACTCATAGCGACCCCTCCTTGGGTTTCCGAGGCAGTATCACTACGGAAGTAGGATTGCCCAACCTTCCTTCCAAGGAGTGGCTGGTGGGTTTGAACCGCCAGCCGTCTGGTTAGCAGGCAAGTGTCTTAGCCACTATGCTACCAGAGCTCCCTAAATTGTTGTTGTTGTTGTTATGTGCCGTCAAGTCAAACCCGACTCATAGCGGCCCCTCCTTGGGTTTCCTACGGAAGTAGGATTGCCCAACCTTCCTTCCAAGGAGTGGCTGGTGGGTTTGAACTGCCAGCCGTCTGGTTAGCAGGCAAGTGTCTTAGCCACTATGCTACCAGAGCTCCTTTTTTCATGTTAAGTTGCTGAAAACAGTAAATACAATTCACAGTAGCTGCATTTTATGTCCTCAATAGTCACATGTAGTTAGTGACTTCTGACATTGTAGTAGAGCCCATCTTGTGTTCATTTTCTACTGACTGCTTTTATCTTGACTATAGATTGCATTTTTCCTGTTTCTTTGTATATATGTTGTTGTTGTTATGTGCCGTCAATTCGGACCCGACTCATAGCGACCCCTCCTTGGGTTTCTGAGGCAGTATCACTACGGAAGTAGATTGTATATGTAGTGATTCTTTATTGCATACTAGACATTTTGGATAATATGTAGGGAGACTCTGAATTCTGTCATCTCCCTCTGAAGGCTTTTGATTGTTATTTTGGCAGGCAGTTCAATTACTGACTGATCATCTTGAATGTGAACAGGCGTGGATTTATTCTTTTTAATGTGGATTTGTGAAAAAGCTCAAGGTGTTTACCTTGGTCCCCTAATTTGGCAAGACTCAACCTTCAACTCCCATTCTCCTATGCATCCTGTTGGGGCTTGGTTTTAAGTCTTCTTAATGTAGGTCCAAGGTGTTCTGGTGGTACTGTGGTTAAAAGCATTGGGTTGCTAACCAAAAGGCCAGTGGTTCGAACCCCCAGCTGCTCTGTGGAAGAAATGAGGCAGTCTGCTTTCTTAAAGATTTATAGCCTTGTAAACCCTACAGGAGCTCTGGTAGTGTAGTGCCTAAGGCACATGACTCCTAACCAGAAGGCTGGCAATTCAAACCAACCAGCCACTCCTCAGAAGAAAGGTTGGGCAATCTAATTCCATAGTGATACCGCCTGGGAAACCCAAGGAGGGGTTGCTATGAGTCGGGTCAGACTTGATGGCACATAACAACAACTACTACTACAACAATAACAAACCCTACAGGGTTGCTATGAGTTGGAATTAACTTGATGGTTTGGTTACTGTAGGTATCATTCTAATGTGTAGTCCTCATTCTTAAAGTGTAACCTATTTCATGTCTCAGCTGGATACCAGGTATGTTAAAGAGGTATTAAGGAGATATTTCCACTGAAATGAGACAGAATTTCAATGTCTCTCAATACTATTCACCAAGCACCACTCAAACTCTAGTTTGAACCCCACAGTAGCTGCCATCTAATTAATTAAGTTCAGTTGGTCTTCAATGGGTTTGCACAACTCAATCTCCATGATGCAAGGACTTCTAGGGTTCCTTCTTTGCAGAATTCCTTCTGCCCTGTAGAGTTCTGTCCTCTAAAATGTACAACCTACAGATTTTAGCCCTTTCTCCTGCCAGGAACTCTGATCTCTGCCTCCTCAACTTAGTAGTACTGCTGTGCTTTGATCAGACTCCAACTCTTTGTCATGGTCTGAAAATTCTCTCCAGACAGAGAACTTGGGAACTGTGGGGCTGACCTTATATAAGTTTTCCTTTTCTCAGGTACTGCAGTTTTGTACTGCCTGTAGTTAAACTATCTAAAAACAGCTTTTATTTGTTTTGTGCAGTTTCATAATTGTTTATAGTGGAATGGTCTGGTACCAGTTACTCCATTATTGCTAGAAATCAAAGTCTTGCATCTGTTTTTGTATTCTTTACATGCAAAATCTAAAAGAAAGTTTCTCCAGTAGAAGATTGTTGAAAATACTGCTAATCACAAACTACAGGTCATCCTTGACTTACAACATATTCGAACAGCACTTAGGACGATCTGTTGTTTTGTTTTTTATATATCTTATCATTAGTAATATGATGCAATGCGTAATTTGCTATTGCTATCCTTCTCAGATGTTTACTCTCAGATGTTCAATTTTATGAGTTAGTGTACAAAACACTAACTGATTTATAAAGATATTAATAATAAAATGCAATAATAATGAAACTTTTAAAAATTGAGGTACTTGATTTACATCAGAACCGACTTAAGACAGTTGTTGGAACAGAACTTTGTCCCAAGTCACAATCCACTTGCAGATTGCAAATAAAATGTTTCATGATGACTGTACAAAATTATCCCAAGTGATACTACCACTAAGATTCCGGAATGACAGTTTGCAAACCTTATTATATGCAGGACATGAAAAGGCTAGTCAAGTAATTAAGTGCAAATGTTTCAAGAAAATAACATTTCCAACAATGATTTTTTAATGCTTTATAAAATTTGTGAAACAAGAGTTTTCTGAAAATTCATCACAATAGCATTTTTCAATGGATAGATCAGTATGACATAAGTGCATAAACAAAAAAAAAAAAAATCACATTAATTCTACAATTAAACTCATCATTCCCATAATAAAAAGTGATTCAGAAAAAGTCTGAATATTGCCTAATTCCAAAGATTTCTCTAAAAAAATTATAAGTGATTTTACTATTCTTATAAGGCCAATCTCTTTTGCTACACTACACACACAATACATCTAAAGTAATTAAATTTTACATTATAAATTTTGGAAACCATGACCATAAAGTAAATGAACAAACACAATTCAGGGTATTAATTATACTGATTTTTGAATAGCCCCAAATTATGTGTTGTGAATCAGCATGAAGGTAGAAGGGAGACTTAAGAAAGCAAATTAGCAAAAAGGACTCAGTGGACTAGCATCGTATTTTTGAGAGGAAGAACATCTGGTGGTTTGCCTATAGATCAAAAAACAAAACAAAAAAGATTGTCTTATAAAGCTCAGTATGTTCACTTTCAAAGGCATGTAAAATTGAATACTTAAAACCATTTAAAGTAATACTGATATATACTTGACCATATTTACTGTTTGAAGTATGTGCTTCTCTAACTTGTCTACTTGCAAACACTCAAGTCTGAAGTCCAAATTATGAAAATGCTCCACAAAGTATTATGTACATTCAACTATTCCTATTGTTTCTCTGGTGGGAAAAAAAATCATAGCATTTAAACCTTTCCAAAATGTATGCTAGGTAACTTAAGTTTATGCAAAAGATAGAGTTGCAACAATGACATATATAATGTTGGAATCAAAACCACAGAAACAAAAGATCACATCAAGTAGGTTCAACCCTTCATGCTTCCAATAGATACCTGGAAACTTTAATTTTCTGTTTCACTATGGCTTTGAAGATCCTGAAATACAGAGTATAATTATTTGGGCACTGCAAAATGGAGAACTCAGGTAGTTATACCAAATTTAGGATTAAATAAAAGCAGTATTACATAACAAACAGAAATGGGATACTACATTCAATCAGGTAGATCAGAAGTTGGGTGGCTGGCCCAGGGCCAAATCCAGCCTATCACATCTTTTTGTTAAATAAAATTTTATTGGAACACAACCACACGCATTCTCCTACATATTGTCTAAGGCTGCTTTAGTGCTGCAATGGCAGAGCTGAATAGCTGAAATAGAGATCATATGGCCCACAAAACCAAAAATACTATTTAGAACTTTACAGAAGATGTTTGAGGGCCTCTGCTCAACATAGCTGCATTGATTTCTCAATTCGCTTTATATATTAAACAAATCAACAGAGCATATCTATATTTAAAAGGCACTGCAAATAAACATATAACAGCCTGAACAGAAAAAAAGTGCAAATGGAGTCAGTACTCTGCAGGTACAAACTCCCTTTTGGTACATGTTCAAGTTAAATTCATGAAATTTTGTTCGACTTTACAAGTATTTTATTATCATATTTATGAGTCTCAATAAAAAGTTTGAAATATGAAGTTATATAGGCACATACATAATACTAATTTTCCTTCCAAGTTTAATTTAGAGTATATATTCTGTTTCTGGGCTTTTGGTTCACACCATTCTTTCCAAAGCTAAAAAGACAGCAAGGGAGTAATCCATTAATTTTAATGGCATACTTCTAGATTTTAAGGGGCAGAGGCAGTGACAATGTGACTCACCTGGAGGTGTGTAGGCATCCATCGAGGTCTGCACAACCAAGGATCTGCGCTTGGAAGGCATAGGCACTGCCATCTTTCTTTCTTTGTGTTTAGCGAGAGCTGCCTGAACAGCTTCAGTATGAACATCTGAAAAAAAAGAGAGAGCGAGCGAGCTCAATTACACCATTGTTCAGTTAAGACCATAATGGCCAGTGCTTTTTCTCCTTTTCTCTCTGGCCCTCTGGCAAAGCTCCTACGGATATTGTAAAAAAAAAAAAAAAAAAGATAGATGGAGAAGGACAGAAAAATAAGTTTAAATCTACTAGTTTGTAAGCTCTGGTTAGAAGACATTAAAACTCATTCAAAGATGTTTAATTACTCATTTATTACCATAGAATCAATATTCAATAACCAAATACTGGCTGTAAATTTCTCTGTGATTTTTCTCTTCTTTGGGTGAATGGATTTTGATACTCATATATTTCTTCACAGGTTTGTTTTCTTTCTTTATTATTTATTTATTTGTTCATTTATATATGAATGAATAAATGAATGATTTGGGTGACAGTGTACAGAGCAAATTCGTTTTCCATGCAGCAGCTCACGTGCACTTTGTCTCATGACATTGACTACCATTCCCCACAATGCAACAGCTCCCCTCCCACATCCTCCCCATAGTTACCTCTCCCTGTGTCCTTCCCTCCAAGCACTCCTAACCCTTGAGCTGTCTCACTGTGCATACACAGCCCTTCTATTCCCCCGATTATTCTCTCCAAGGAGTGTATCTGCCTAATGTAAATGTTCAGCTCATATGCCTATCTTGCTTGGCTGGAAGCCATAGGTACAAGTCACATTTTCAACCTTCATAATTAATTTCAATTTGCTTTAAAAAGAATATGTGTATCTTACAGGTAGTAATGATTACAGCTAACATTTACTGAGTACTCATCTGTGGGTCAGGCATTATGTTAGGCATTTTATATATATTAATCCATTGTATTAATTCACTAATTCCACAAATATTTATTGAATGCTTACTTTGTAAGGTAGAGTCTTAAAGGCTGGAGCAGTGGGAGATAAAGTTATTGTATCTTATGCAGCTTAATCTCTTCAGGAAAAAAGGACAAACCATTAAATAGGATGTTGTTGTTGTTGTTACTTGCTGTCAAGTGGGACCTGACTCATAGCGACCCCTCCTTGGGTTTCCAAGGCAGTATTACTATAGAAGTAGATTGCTCAACCTTCCTTCTGAGGAGTGGCTGGTGGTTCAAACCTTCTGGTTAGCAGTCAAGTGCCTTAGCCACTATGCTACCAGAGTTCCATTAAATAGGATAGAGAATTTAAAATAAGATATAATAGACTGAGTGGCTACTCTGAATTGTGAGGTCAGGAAAGAGCTTTGTTAATTTGAAATCTGAATAAAAATGAACTAGCCTCTGGCTGTCAAGATAAGAATTTACAAGGCATAGGAAACCACCAGCCTGTTGCTGCTAGGTGCTGTTGAGTTGTCTCCGACTCATAGAGACCCTGTGCACAGCTGAACAAAACACTACCTGGTCCTGTGCCAGCCTCATGATCCTTGTTATACCTGGGCCCATAATTGCAGCCACTGTGTCAATCCATCTTCTTGAGGGCCTTCCCTTTTTTCATTGACCTTCCACTGTACTAAGTATGATATCCTTCTCCAGGAAATGGTCCCTTCTGATAACATGACCAAAGTAGGTGAGACGAAGTCTGGCCATTCTCACTTCCAAGGAGCATTCTGGCTGTACTTCTTCCAGGACAGATTTGTCAGTCCTTTTAGCAGACCATGGTACTCTAAGCATTCTTCTCCAACACCACAACTCAAAAGCATCAATTCTTCTTTGGTCTTCCTTATTCATTGTCCGGCTCTCACATGCATATTTGGCAACTGAAAATACCAGGGCTAGGGTTGGGCGCACTTTAATCTTCAAGGAGAGATCTTTGCTTTTCATCACTTGGAAGAGGTCTTTTGCAGCAGATTTGCCCAATGTAATACATCATCTGATGTCTTGACTGCTGTTTCCATTGGTGTTAACTGTAGAACCAAGTAATATGAACAACTTCAATCTTTTCTCCATCCATTGTGAAGGTGTCTATTGGACCAGGTATGAGGATTTTTGTTTTCTTAATATTGAGGTGTAATACATACTGCAGACTGTAGTCTTTAATCTTCATCAGTAAGTACTTCAAGTCATCCTCACTTTCAGCAAGCAAAGTTGTGTCATCTGCATATCACAGGTTGTTAATTAGTCTTCCTCCAATACTGATGCCTTGTTCTTCTTCATATAATCCAGCTTCTTGGACTACTTGCTCAGCATACAAGTTGAATAAGTATGGTGAAAGGATATAACCCTGACTCACTCCCTTCTTGATTTTAAACCATGCAGCATCCCCTTGTTCTGCTCAAACAACAGCCTCCTGATCTATACACAGGTTCCTCATGAGTATAATCAAGTGTTCTGGAATTCCCATTCTTCTCGACGTTATCCATTGATAACACAAACATAAAGCCAGCCCCGAAGACAAGCTGAGCAGCTGCAACCCTGCGGCACCCGTCCTCTCGGGAGCCCGGCCTTAAAATAAAGCCTGACTGACCACCAGCCTAAAGGTCCTAAATGTGCATTAGCATGGTAGTGGTAGAAAGAAAGAATATCCAGTGTGATTGAAGACTGGTGGTCAAAGGCAGAAGGATTCAATAGGATGAAGATACACTGAAGTTCAGGGCAAATAGTTCATATCCTATTAGAGGATTTTAAACAGAAGAATGCCATGATCTGATTTATATTTTGGTATGATCATGCTAGCTTCTGTGAGGAAGACTATAAGAGAACAAGAGTAGAAGCTCGGAAACCAGTTAGAAGGCAGCAGTCCAGACCAGATACGACCACACTTAATAATCTTCTACAATCCTAAGGACAAGTTACTCTCATCATTCCCATTTTATGAATGAGGAAACAGAGTTTACGAGATTCAAAGGTATAAAACTGAAAAGTGGCATTAATAGGATTAGATTGACTGTAGAGTCCACATCCTTCATCTGTACTTTATACTTACAATGATATCATTTATGAATTTACAGATATTTAGCCCCTTCATGAAACCTTCCTTAAAACTAGGACTCCTGATAGTGTGGTGGTTAAAGCACTTGGGTGTTAACTGAAAGGTCAGCAGTTCAAACCCACCAGCTGCTCCATGGGAGAAAAATGTGGCAATCTTCTTCCATATAGATTTACAGCCTTGGAAACCCAATAGGGGCAGTTCTACACTATTCTACATGTAGGTTCACTATGAGCTGGAACTGACTTGACAACAATGGCTTTGGATTTTATTTTGGTCCTTTGCCTTGACTCATGGCCACCCCATGTGTGTCAGAGAAGAACTGTGCACCATAGGGTTTTCAATAGCTGATTTTTTAGAAGTACATAGTCAACTCCTTCTTCCTAGGTGCTACTGGGTGGATTTGAACCTCCAACCTTTGTGTTAGCAGCTAAGAGCATTGACTACATGTAGCATATAGGGAAGCCCTGATTAATCATCTTGTCTATACACCAGCAGCTGCCAGAGGATCTGGTAATATTTTAGAGTAAACCAGTAAAACCAAACTACTTCTTTCAAGTTGATTCTGACTCATGGTGACCCCATCTACTCCAGAGTAGACGTGCTCTCCATAGGATTTCATGGCTATAATCTTTTAGAGGCCTTTGTTCTGAGGTGCCTCTGGGTGGATCTGAACCACCAACCTTTCAGTTAGTAGCTCAACACAACCCTATTTTATACTAAGGATCAGCAAACTGAAAGTCAAATTCAGCCTGGCATAAAGTTTTCTAAATAATATTTTGTTAAAACAGCCACATCCATTCATGAAAGTAAAGTCTATGGCTGCTTTAATTTTCAAAGGCAGAGATGGATTGTTGGGACAGACAGCACAATGTCAAAAGTATCTGCTATCTGACCCTTTACAGAAAATGTTTGTCGATCCTTGTTTTACAGCATTACTATACACCACATGGAGACCCTGGATGGTGCAAACCATTAACACACTTGCTGCTAACAGAAAGGCTGGTTGTTCAAGTCCACACTGAGCTGCTTTGGAAAAAAGGCCTACGGATCTACTTTTGAAAAATCAGTCATTGAAAACCCCATGGAACACAGTTCTACTCTGACACACATGGAATCATCATGAATTGGAACTGACTCAATGACAACTGATTTATACACTATATGCAAGTAGCTTATTACTTAGTACCGTAGTTTGTTCAGTTTGATTCCAATCTCCTCCCTCAATAAACAATCACTGTTTACTACTTTGACCAGTTTCCTTGATCTTGACCTTCATATACATAGAATCATATAGTTTCTATATAATTACAGAGTATACTTTTTGTTTGCTCAATATACTACATTTGGAATTCATCCATGTTGTTACAAGTATAAGAAGCTCCTTTATTTTTTTACTGGTGAGAACTATTTCAATGTATAAATATATCTTAAATTTGTTCATGTTTGTCCATTTAGTGAATATGTTGGGTTTTTCTAGTTTCAGGTTATTATCTAAAATCTTTTATGTGCATATCTTTATTTGGACATATATTTCTTTTGAAATGCCTAGAAGCATAGTGGCTAGGCCATAAGGCAAGTGTATGTCAATTTTTAGAAAATGCCCACCTGTCTGACAAATGGTTGTACCATTTTACATCCTATCAGTCATGCATAAGAGTTCCAGTTATGCCACAGCTTCCTCAGCACCTGGTACTGTCAGTCGTTTTCACTTTAGCTATTCTACTGATTATGAGAATATAGCTTCAGGATTGGAAGAAGACTCATTAATAACCTGCTATATGCAGATGACACAACCTGGCTTACTGAAAGTGAAGAAGGCTTGAAAAGTTGGCAGTTCCAACCCACCAGCCGCTCTGCAGGAGAAAGATTTGGTAGTCTGCTTCTGTAAAGATTTACAATCTTGGAAACCCAAGGGGCAGTTCTACTGTATTGTACAGGGTCACCATGAATCACAATCAACTTGATGGTAATATGTTTGGTTGGTTGGTATATCCCAGCAATACCAGTAAATGGGTACTTAAATATTTGTTAAATGCAGTTCAGTAGTGGTGACAGAGACCATA